GGCAGCGCGCCCCTTGGGGCGCTCGGCGGCTGTCAAGCCGTGCTGGAGCCTCTGCCGAAGTCTTGCTACGCGCGTTGTTTCCTGGACGCGTGGGACAACAAACGCGGTCGTTTGTGCGCGTTTTGCAGCAAAACGGTTGCTGTAAACCGCAGTTTGATCCGCTGTCCGGGGTGCCCGGTGCATTGTCGCTACGCCGTCATCGCCGATGCGTCCAACCGCCCTCTGTCCTGTCCGGCGAAGCTGGGAACGGCTGGTCGCGTCCGTGATACGCGCGTTGTTTCCTGGACGCGTGGGACAACAAACGCGGTCGTTTGTGCGCGTTTTGCAGCAAAACGGTTGCTGTAAACCGCAGTTTGATCCGCTGTCCGGGGTGCCCGGTGCATTGTCGCTACGCCGTCATCGCCGATGCGTCCAACCGCCCTCTGTCCTGTCCGGCGAAGCTGGGAACGGCTGGTCGCGTCCGTGACTGCGTTTAAGAAACGGGAGATTGGTGTCCTTACTGACACAGCTCTTCCGTAGTCTATGCTTAAAAATCATGAGCAAAGCTTTCCCCCCTCCCCGAATTAAAGCATTATTGTCTTAAGATCTTTTTTGCATCGTAAGGCAGGTGTTTCTTGGAGACTTTCTGCGCTAAGTGAAATCTCGAGAAAACTCTCTAGTATCTTCTAGGTTTAGTCTTGTTTTATAGCCGTAGCGTCAAGTAGTAGAAAGGCTTACCGTGAACGTGATTTTTCACCTTGACTTACCTATGAAGATCAGGCAGCTCGGAGAGTTGTCAGTCCTGGTTTCAAAGCAGGCGGTGCCCATATTAAACCCGCTGTTGAGTGAAGGCTCACTTCAGAACTAGGTAGTAGTTCTGCTAATTTTTGTGGCAGAAAAACCCGTTACTACCTTCTAGTGCCACCAAGTGGACATCTTTACTTGCCAATAAAAGCTTTCTTAAAGTTATTTTTATTTCAACAGTTATGTTCAAATTTTATGGATGTTTATTGCCGAGTGCCACTTCTTCACGTGCTGAAGTATTTCCTTTCAAATCAAATATTTCAAGCATAACAGCATGTGTTGTTTTAATTGCTTTACCTAATGGCTTGCTGAAGAGTGCCGTTTGACAGGAGGAGAATCTGACGTTCCTCGTTGTCCACGAGGATGATGCACACTTCCATGCGTGCTTTTCTGCCTTTGTTAATAACTTGACCTGGGGAAAATCACCATGTGAAGCAGCAGTTGAAAACCCGGTGGTCTGCTTACTCCTCCGATTCTTTTTCCTCCATCGAAGCCACACGATGGGCTATGTAGGAAGTTACGAGGGTAGAGCAGGATGGGCACGCTTGTTAACAGGATCAACGTGGAGTACTACTTCTGATTTGAAATGGAGTTTTCCACGTTTGCGGCATTAGACCACTCACCAAATCTTACGCGCACGAGAGCCCGACCTCAAAATTTGGAAACCACTGTTTTGGAGCAAGGTCAAAAGAGGAGTCTAGATCATGTAATCTGTTTAGATAAGGATTACTCTGTTTCCTGTACTAACCGAGCATTAAAAAGGAATGTCAGGAACTCAAAATCATAAATCAGTCGGTAGCTGTAAATACACATACCAGAGTTCTGCTGCGTACCGTTAGTCGGGCGTTTTCACTGAGCAGTCATGCATCATTCTTACAGGTAAAAATCCATCTTTCTGTTCTGACTTGTTTAAACTACTCGAGCTCTGTTCTGCCAGATCTGACTTCTGATACCCGTATCCTTGGGACAGAAATCGTTTGGTTTTTTTTTTCATTTTGTTTTCCCTCCACCTCCTCTTTGCAGCCTTCCATGACCGTAAGCCAGTGAACATGGGAAGCCAAGACGTTATTAGGCCAGTTACACTATGTAAATTTGCTGCTTCTTCCAGCGGGTTTCTTTTCAGTAGTTTAGAGCACTGTTTAAGGCAACCTCAGAGGAGGATTCCTGCACCCTCACTTGTCCTCCCTTGATGTAGTTCAAGCATGTGTCGACACGTGAATTGCAGGTACTGTTGCCAGCAAGACATAACCTGGGCGTGAGTGGAGCGTCTGCAAAGGCTTCCTGGTCAGGCGGTACACGTCAGACTGCAAGATAGAAATAGCCTCTCTTTCCTCTTCTTTTTTTTTCAGGTATCTTTAATATTTTCCAAGTGTTGGTAGGAGTACTAATTTATTTACTGTTTTCCAGATCGCTTTCTACAACAAAATAATAATCTTGACTATTTTAAGAAACCTAATTGCAATGAGGACTGAAATTCCATTCAGAATGGTAAATATTTCAAGGCAAACACCTATGAAACCAGTTCAAATATCCTTGAAAATAAATCTGAATAGCAAAATATCGCTCAAGACGTGCAGCTAAACTAGATCATCTTAAAACAAGGATTCTCATGGCAAACTCCATTCCCCACCTGTATTTCAGGTTTCATTGCAGAGAAACTGTGTCCTCGTTTCTGTATGAATGTGCCAAGTTTATTTCATTTTACATTCTTCCTGAGAGAAGTGCGAACACCATCGTGGAGACCATGGATTTTGAGGAAGCAGCAATTTTCTCTGCCCAGAGTGCCCTTACTTCAGGCAGCAGGAAAGAACAACTCTTTCAATCTCCTTGGACTATCTGAGGCAGAATTAAAAGAACAGTTTGTAAGAGGTGACGGCCCAGGAGGTCAAGCCACAAATAAGACAAACAACTGTGTTGTCTTGAAGCATATTCCATCTGGGATTGTAGTAAAGGTAATTATATTTTTTATTTCATTAAGTCACAAATTGCATCACGTCTTCCAAGTCTCCTTTCATAGTAAAGCATAATCACAGTGCAAATGTCATGGAGGAAAAGTTTCTATGTGTTGTAAAGAACCTCAGCAAGAAGCAGTTTTGGCGATCAGTAGATAAATAAACTTGGGGTCATAGCTGATCTTGCTGGCTTCCACAAGCAGTACTATTTTGTAGTTTTCAATAAAATGTATCTATCTTCACTGTAGCTGCCTTTCAGTGGCAGCTGTCGTATTCCTATCCCTCTTGTGAGTTAGTTAGAATGTCTTCCTTAACAAGTTGATCATGCTCACTTTGCATTCTTTTTAAGCATTACTCTTACCTGCTTCTTGTGGATTAATACTTTGAAATTTATCTTTGCTTCCTTATCACAAGGGGAAGACAGTTAAGTTAAACTCAGAAGAAGCTTTCCAAGGTAATATGGAAGCAATCTTATTCGCTGACAGAATTAAAGATTCATGCAAAAGCCAGTCTGATGAGTTACAGTAGCAAATAATTGTTAGGCAGCCTCTCCAAAATATATCACCTGGATACAAAAGTTCCAGCAGTTCTTGGCAGGGGGATGCTCTTGGCTTGGGGGAGAGGGAGTTACTTTACTGTAATGGCGGGAATATGTAGACTGAAAGGGAAAGCAGAAGAATTAAACAGGTTAAAGTTCCAGTAAAAATGTCCTATTGTATTTCTTCAGTGTCATCAAACAAGATCAGTGGAGCAGAACCGAAAGATAGCCAGAGAAATCCTGCAGGAAAAGGTTGACCTCTTCTACAAAGGTGAAGATAGCGATGTTTTTAAAGAGAAGAAAGCATCGGAGAAGAAGAAGCAAGAGAAAAAAAGAAGAGCAAAGGAAAACCTAGAAAGGAAGAAGCATTTTAAAGAGATGCAACAATTGCATAAGAAATAAACATATGTAATACTGACTTGCCCTAGTAGGGTAAGGGAAACATTTGTCATTATACCTAAACAATTTTCAAACTAACAGATGATGTAGAGCTTCATAAGCACAACTGAAATACTGAGTAGTGACCTGCTATTACTGTAAAACCGAAGTGATAAAAGCAGTCATGTATTCCTACTTCTGTCTCCCATTAATCACATCTAGCAATCAGTTTTTCTGCCAAGTTCAGAAGATGATAAACCAATCCTTGTTAAAAAGCAACTATAAACTTTCCACCATTGTTAATAGAGACAAAAAAAATTCAATAGATCTCCTTCTCCCCGGATGATACCTTATGCTGCTTTGTAGGAGTTCCAATACATACGGAGAACAGCCCTAAAAGGTTTTAACTTTCCATCCTTACTCAGGCAAGGCCTCTACTGACATAAATCCTTTATAAACAGTGACCAGGTTTGGATGCTGGTTCTGATGGTGTAAACAGACATGCTGACAGAAGAGACACCCGTCACTGGTTGCCTCCTTCAGATCTGTTAGCTTCAACAAATGCTCTGTCCTATTTAATTCTGAATGAAGTTTAAACAGAAGCTTTACAAATCTTGTCTGGAGTGGTGACGAGCCTTGGGGCGGGGAGGCGCTCCTGCAAGTGAGGGTTGGTCAGTCATGGTCAGTCATGTTCTTCCAGTTCAAAGGTGAAATTGGGTCATTACAGATAACGTGTATTGGAAGCTGCCTCCCAAGGCAACAGAATCCAGTTCATCCAAGCTGTGGAGTAATTAACTTTGCCTCTTACTACTGTGTTTGCTTCAAGTATCCACAGCTCCGTATGTATTAGATATCCCAGATATCCCATCTTCCTTAGGGTTTAGATTTGATTGTACAATAGTGAATTACAGTCATTTATTATGTTTATGCTGTGCTGCAGTTAAGCTGGGGCATTTTGGTATCTCCATTCATTTTGACAGCTTCCCATTTTATGCAAGTACATGGAGCTGCTTTTCCTTTGTTACTGTTACTTTGGAGCCACTAGTGCAGTATACTTTCCTATTTTGATCCTTTTAAGAACTCTTAATTGCTTAACCAAAACTTCTCTTTAATTTTGGACAGCACCCTCACCGGCTGCCACCAAGTTTTCACCCTCAGCAGTGAAGGGAGAGTGCTTCAAGAACCGAAGCCATAGCTTGTATTTTGAAAGCAATGGAGACTGCTAGCAACCTCTTACTACCGCCTTCTTACAGAGATCGACCGCATCCAGACCACACCACGGACAGAAACTCTCCAGCAATCTGCAGGCCCATTCCCTTGTCTGTTCATGAACTTGAGCCTCCTGCATGAAGGTTAAATCTTTATCTGTTGAGAGTTCTTGTTCATGGAGTATGAATCTGATTAAAGTGACTGTACATAGTTTTAATACAAACTGTTAATGAAAATAAGCTTTATTACGTCAAGTAATAAATACATACAAAGATGCAAATAACAGTTTTAGTAATTTATCCAGAATTTTCTTTTTTTTTTGGCAAACTTTAAACTGAAATCTCCAGCCTTAATGTAGAAATTAGCTTTCCAGGACCTTGTTATTATTTAATAGGTTTCCCTATTTTCCATATAACTCATGCACTTTAAATGGACTTCAAAGCACTAACAGTCATGCAAATGTTTATGCAAAACGAAGAAAAAAGGAAAAATAAGAGAAGGGGAAGGTTATTTCTAAGCAGGGTCTATGCTGTATGACAAATTGTGACTTAGCAGACTACTAGGTACAGCATGCTATTCTGCATTTATTAAAAAAAAATCCTTAGAGCTTATGTCAAACTTTGAAAGATTGACAGTTTGGGGTTAAGTGAATATAGTCAAAGGAAAAAAACAGAATTAAGACTGTGGCTGGATAAGAAGAGAACTGAAATATAGCCTGGGAGAGAAAGAGCATTCCTCTGCATGCAGTTCAGTTTTCATGTTTTAGAAACATTTTAGGGAGTTTTAACGTCTTTACAAAATGCAAACCCTCCATAAGTTGAAAAATCCTTGTTTTCTCATTCTTAACTATACATTTTTGTAAGGGCAAAACAAGGTAAAACATTCAAAATAAAGGAATTTGTCTGAATGTTTCAAGAGTCAAAAGGAATAAGTGTTACTTTTTCTTCATTAAGAGATGGAAAATCTTGCAACTGAATTAGTGGGCTAGGATCTTGCATTTCGTTCCGTCTCAGCCAAGCATTCCCGAACTAATCCTCTAGCATGAATAATGCCTGCAAAAGAATTAGACATATTTTAAATCATCTCATTCAGGTCACACTTGCAATGACAGTCCAGACAAAGGTTTACGTATTTCTGTCCCGAGTTGCCAAGGCTACCACAGCATGCCTCAGAAAAGGGAGCAATCCCTCGCTTCCCAAACATCAGCTGCTGCTAAACAAGTCTGCCTTCCCAAACTGGCATTATAAATTGAAAAAGGACTAAACCAGGAATGGGAGCATGATAAGATTTGTAGGTCTGCAGTGACAGGTATATCTTAATGTGCAATGCGGGCCTCTTTAAAATCAGAGACTGAACAGAAAGGAAAAAAAAAATCGTCTTACTTACCTGTGAGTTATTTTGCTACAATGGAGTGAAAAAAAATAGGAAGTTATTTGGGGAGTCGTTTTAACAAGCACTAAAAGTCTTAATACCTTGGAATAGTTCGCCTCTGAGAGGATGCATCAAAATGCAAGCCTTCATAATGCTGCTTAAACACAAGTTGTGTCTCTTGTAAGCGTAAGAAGAAATTTTTTATGGTGTGTGCAAAAAGTTACCTCCTAACACTGGCTCAGCTCCCAGTGTAAATCATCACCACTTTACATGCTGCCGTATCTACGCTCATCTGATAGACATAATGTGGAATTTTCCACTACAAGTCCTGTTGCCTTGAGTTCCAGCAATCTGGACCTTGATTCTTAATCCTGGAACTAAATCTAGATTCATGTTCACAGCACTGTTGAAAGAACAGAGCTTGAGATAGATTTTAAAATGAGAGACGGACAGATTTTTCTACAACAAATGAGGTTATATTTTACTGACAGGACAAGACAGAAGGCGGAGAAAGGACAGTAAGGCAATAGATGAGGTTTAATCTCTATTTAGAGATAATGGATTCTGTTTCTAGAAGGCTGCTAGCCCAGATCACAGCAATAGCCTTTACATCCAAGAAGTCCCAAGACTTGGGACTTGATGGGTGCGAGGTTTTGCAGAGGGTTAAATTGACACAGACAAGTAAAGCTGCATCCCACAGCTGTGGGATGCAGAAACGCGTACTCAAAGCAGTGCATTAGACCTGGATCTGGTGGCAGGACGCCCAGTTTATGCAGCAGAACTACCCTGAATTATGTAGAACACTGGGAATTTGGCCAATTTTAGAGGTCAGTAGCCTCTGTGCTCAGGAGCAGGTGGAGCTGGGGACAGGGACTTTATTCAGGAATAACCTCCACAAGGCCACAGAGGCTGCAGTCATGTGGTTACCCTCAATCACTTCTGCTCTCACAGTTGCACATGCTCCTTCAGCCATCAGACTCCCAAAATGGAAAGAGGTATGTTTGTGACCAAAAGATGGCAGCAAAAAGTATTTATTTGGGATTCTTTGCAACACTGGCAAGTCACAGTGGCAGCACTGAATCTTAAACCTATGTTAGCCAACAAACTAAATACTCACTGCAAGAAGCAGCAAAACAGCTTTTCCTCACCGAACTGAACCATTCAGTTCAGAGAACGTCTGCATCTCTCCCAGCCTCTCTCAAGTTGTCCCCATTAGCCTATTGCCATTCATGATCTATTAATACTGACTCAGGCAATGCAATAAAGAGAGACTCCAGCAACATTGATTTTAGCTGGGCCAGATTCCACTTACCACTCATCAGCAGACTTTATTGCATCCTTTCCCAGAACAGCTACTAGTCATTTTATTGCACGTCATGGCAGATATATTACTCTCCCATAATGGTTGAGCCTTAAATAAAGCTTTGTAGTCTTGGGTAAATGTAAGGGGGATTTGCAAGGTGGTGAAGTTAGTCTGTTACAATAACATTCCCATTCAGGGTTGAACACATGAGCCAAACTCAGCACAAGGACCAAGGAAGGGGAAGAAAAGGTGACTACATCATACTGGCAAAGGACAGAACTGCCAGCACAACTGTTGGGGATGGCCTTTCAGGGTCATTTCAGGAGCTGGAGCACTGGAATGTCCCATTGCTCCTTCAGAAATATCCCTCGCACGTCCCCTGCAGAGGACAATGTCAAGCTGATGTCAGCAGTGGGGCATGCAGGCGTTTCTTTTACACTGCAAGGAAAGGGCATTTATTACCCCTTTTAGCTGACAAAGCAAAGCTAGAGACCTCATCAGCCAGGCCTAAAAGCTCCTGTGTCCCTTACTAGTGGACCCTTAATGACATCCACTTGACAACAGGTAATGGAGCCTAAGCAGCCCAACACTCCACAGAGAGGAGGAACACGTATTTTTGACATCTCAGTCTCAACAGCCTTCACTGACAACCTTTTTTTTTTTGCAGCTCTTCTCTCCACCAGCCTCAGTGTGAATTACCACAATGTAGTATTTCTTTAGGCAAAATGCACTTTAGTAAAGACTCTTGGGTCAAGTAGATGGGTGATGTATATGAGAAAAAGTAAACAATGCTTGGTTGTATATTTTGGAGACTGGGGAGAAAAGGGAATTGAAGGGGCAAGTAAGTCACTAGGAACCTAGAAGCACATATCCATTAGACACCTTAAGGGTTCTAAAATAAGGTTTGAATTATTAACTGAAACTCCCCTTGTGCACATGAAACCCATTTGGTCACTGATTTATCTATCAAATGCAGCATGAATAGAGCATCCCAAGGTTTCAGTTGCTTGTTAACACACCTAGTTTAATGATGAGCTCAAGACAGCTGTCTCCTTTCAAAGGAAACAGTTGTCATGAAGCCATATACAAATAGTCAGTGCACAAAGTGTATGTGACAATTTTTTTTTAATAAATTTAAACATTACCTCTTTTTAGCCTCTCCATCGCACTTTTACTCCCAGCGTATGTGGGTCTAATCTCTTTTCCTAATTCTTCTATGATAGCTAGAAGTTCTGCATATTTGCTTTGCGGTACTTGACTGCTGCTGGTACCCTGTAGTTGAAAGTAGATTAATCTCAATTAAATACTGCTAAAAACAAAACAAAACAAACCAATTACAACAAACAGCAACTGGAAATTCATGGAGGACCAGAAATAGCCCTGGAAGCCACTTTTTAAAAAAATAAAATTTCAGGTTTATTATATAAACATGATTTTCTTTTTGCGGTTGCTGCTACAGTTGGACACAATGCTACATGCCCTTCAAAAACTGGGATCAACTGGGAGGATGCAGCTGCAAGACTGGGACCTTAGGTGGGACCGAAATTAGAAGAGTCCTGTAAGAACAGCAAACTGAGAACTGCTTATTTAACTCTCCCTCTGCTTTTTCAATGTTTAGGTGTATATTTTGTGGAGAATTTAGCTAGGCAGGGAGAGTGAGAAGCAGATATAAACAAAACTGCCCATATGATAAGGGAAATCCTATTAAGTCAAATACATTTCACAGAAAGTTTACTGCCAGATTCCTGAAGCAGCCCATAGGACTGTGTGTGACACACGCTTCATGAAACTAAATTTTAGAGTATAAATTTGCCAAAGAAAAACAGTATAGAAATAGTCATTTTTTAACAAATAATTTTAAAATATGTTAGAGCTCTTACTATCAGAACATAACTCAAGACATGTTTCACTGTGACTCAGAAGGGATGGGACTAACAGTTAATTAGTAACCAACCTCACTCAGCACTCTGCTTAGTCTAATTTGATCCCAAGACATGTGCGATGAATCAGTCTGCCATTTGGGTTTGATTTCAAATCTTGGTGGGAGGGAGGAACACCTCAGATTACAGGCCACAATCCATGCTACTATGCAAACGTAGGGTCAGTGATCTGATTAAAGAAGAACAACAAGCAGAGCTGTACCTGCATCCCTTGTGTATAGCCTAGAGATGGGGGTCCGTAATCATTTATAAGCTGTCGGTATTGCGCAGATGTTGCCATACTTGTGGAGGGAGAGTGAACACTCCCAGCTGTAAGAGGAAAGAAAAAAAAAAAATCTGTTATTATCTAAAGACTAATTAGTCTGTTACACTGGGACACATTTTAGATCACTTTTTTCTAAAGCTGTGACCTCTCACCTTTGTCTAAGCCCACTAATGCCATTTCAGAGTGACACTATTTGCTAGGAAGAGAATGGTTAAATTAATGCTTCTCTAACATTTGCTGTACATTTGAAAATAGCACAGCCTGCAACATTATCAGTGCAAATTGTTTGCCTAAAAGTGAAACAGAGTGTAGCATGACAGGTTGTTCTGCCTAGACAAACTGTAAATATTAAGGAGCCCTATTTTTGCATATATACATTCCACATAGATGAGTCTAATGTACTATACTATTTTTACTTTTTCAGTGCAAGTTATCTGAAAGTAATTTTGCAACTCAAAGTGTCATCACATGGTCAATGCAAGTTACCCTCAGTACTATTTTCAGCCAATGCCAAAACTATTCATAGGGAACAGTCAGTTGAGGTATATCAGATCTGCTGCTCATTGTACGACATCGGAGGCGAAGAGTGCTACCATTATTCCTCTTTGTGTTGTATCAAATGTTTTTAGCCAGTCATATTGTGGATATCAAATGTTTTTAGCCAGTCATATTGTGCTATATAAGTAAACCAAAGGAAAAATAACATCACTTCAGGTTATGGTTACTTTTTCAAAAGTTATAAAAGATTATATTCAGATCTACAGGGTTTTGAGTCAGCTAAGAGTTACAGAAACAGACTCTAATGTGATCAT